GCTCAGTTGGAAGAGCATTCGCCCGCAAGCAAAAGGTCTCGGGTTCGATTCCCGATTTAGCCGACTTTTGAATCAATATTTTTCTTGCCTTGTAGTTTTACAGGGGATTTAAATTAAGGGGGTAGTACAGGAATTAGAGATCCAAATCAAGGATATTATTCCTAAACCAACGAAAAAATTAATTTTCGTGGACGCAAAGAACATCGCGGTATAGCCAATAAGCCGATATAGGTATATATGTTGTATAAATATTTAAATGCTAATTTTCTGTTTGCTGTAACGCTGAAGAATGTCTCTTAATATGGCGGAGAATATTTCAAACGATTGTAGCAATTTCACCAAGCATGAATTTTGCTTGCTGAATTCGACAAATTACGATCATTGGCGACAGAAGATGTTCTTTCTCCTTTGCAAGGAAGATATACGAGAAGTCACTGAAAAACCGAAGCCCACGAAGATAACTCCAAATTGGATTGTGCTCAATCGTCAGGCTATGTCGACCATTGGTTTAGGAATCGAGGATACTCAACTTAAACACGTCGTAGGAGTCAATACTGCACACAAGATGTGGACTGTTTTTGGGAAGATATATTCGACGGTTAATGTAAGTTCTAGACATCATTTTCACCGGAAATTTACACAGTCAAAGTGGACATCCATGGCCGAATATATAGATCTGATGCAAGATCTGGTTTTTCGAATTCAACGCGCTGGCGGAGAAGTACGAGATGAAGAGTTCGTCTGTCACATTATCAGAGCAATGCCAGATTCCTGGGAAACTTTTATTTCAAGTTTGGAATCAAGTTCACCTGATATTTTGACGCCTGATTATGTAATTCAGAAACTCAAATCTGAGTATAAACGACGTCAGAATCGAAAGAAAACTTCAAGTTCGGTATAATTAAAATCGCTGCTGTGGTTAATAAATTTAATCGAGGAGCAATCAGTAAATTAAATAATCAAAAAACATTGAATAATTCTATAAATTTAAAGTGTCAAACAGGCAATAAGAGCCAAATCGCGGATGACAGCGTTATTCCAACAAAACTAAATTTTTTCGTTAGAATTTAAAAACCTGTGCACAAGGCACCAAATTTTACTTGATCACGGCCAAGATTTAAAATTGGAATAATCTCTACAAGAGATTTAATTCCATACATCCCCTGTTCCCCCCTAAGGAAATAAATGCGAGAGAAAAATTTATTGTACAAGCCAAGATCGAATAATTACTTTAATTTTATTCTCTGAATGAAGCAAAACCGGCTAGAACTCCAATGGAAACGGGTTTTTTAGCCGGAGACACTGACAACAGTTCACTCTTGTCAAATAATCATCAATATCGACAAGCAATTGGATCTCTTTTGTATTTAGCTACTATTTCACAACCTAAAGTAGTTGCTACTGTCGGTTTTCTAGCTAGAAGGGTGGAAACTCCAACTCAAATGAACTGGAATGCAGTTAATCGATAGATTGAGTTCGAATTATATTATGAAAGTGTCTTTATTTTTGCTCTATGTGCTTTGTAAGCGAAAATATTATTATGCAAAGTCTAAATATGAAAAATTTTTTTTAAGAAATGTCCACGTCATTATTATCATCGTCTACGCATACAGTAGTATTGTGCTACACGTATTCACACGTATACGACACATGCATACACGTATACACACGTACACAACACATGCAATAGATGCATATAGTAGTAATGTTGTACAGTTCTCACGTTTGACACAGGCGGCGTTATAGTGCTACGCGATATTAGCAATGTTAAAATTATGTATATAGTGAAAATATAGAATTAAAATTATGTACATAATAAAATTTCGGCGAATTATAATAAAAATAACGTTTCTCTGTCGCGATAGCCCACAACGGTGCAAAAAATAATTATTATATACATATATTATTATATATATTATTTATTGCCTATATAAGCAATAAATAATATATTATTTATAATATAGGTTTATATTCTGTTTTTCTTTTGTTTATCTTTTGTTTATAAACCTGTGTAAAAGAGAATTCTAAATGTAAACGAAAAAAAACTAATTTGAAATAGAGAAATTTTAGAAAAGAGAAAAAGTCGATAATGATTAAAATATAAGGTTTAATATGAATTATAAAGATCAAATGTTTAACTCATATAAGCGATAAACAATATATTATTAATAATAATTCTCTATTCTCTAAAATTCCTCTATTCCAAATTAGTTTTTTTTTTTATTTACAATTAGAATTCTCCTTTACACAGCTTTATAAACAAAAGATAAACATAAGAAAAACAGAATAACATTTTTGTTCTGCACATTTATGCTATTAATATAAAAATATTAGACAAGGGAAATATTTAGTCTTTAAAAAATAATCCTAAAATAAAGCAATCGACTGATATAATACATAAAATTGGGTATCTAATCATCATATAAATTATAAAGTTCTGCAAATATTTTACCCGACAAGCAAGCTTTTGTATCGCCAGATTCAGAATGCAAACTATCGTTATTTGATTGTGAACAACTAAAACATTTAATATTATAGCAAACAGCTCATACATGATTTTAAAGCCAGGTATTCCCTCAAAGGTTTCTGTTGTGTGCCTCGGGTAAGGCACAAGGGGTCGCACCAAATTTAGATGGAAATCCGGGGCGACAGGAGCAAGCTCGTGATTAACTTGTATAATCACTTGCACTTTCACTTTTTATTAAATGATTTTTATTCAATTGAACACTTGTCGTTGAATTATTTTGACAATATTACAATGTTACACCTTCTTAGAGTAAGCTACTAACTTAGTCTCGCGGTAGTGACTATACGTATACCTTTATTCGATTCGCGAACTACGCGTGTGATTCTGCGTCTCCGGCGATATTGGTGTTACGCGGTTTGCACGGTTACTCTTGATTAGCAACTTGAGAGCGACTCTCGGGTGCGTCTCCTGCTCGGTTTTTATAGTATCACTTTTTTGGAGGTTCCTTGATCGGAAGGGGTGCCTGGCAACGGGCCCCCTCGGTCAAGAACCTAGGTGCAAGCGAAGTAAATTCAAAGTCTTTCTGCTTTGCTTGCACGTTGGGCAATTTCGGTTTCGCGTGTATCTCGCAGCGTATGCGTTTTTACGCGGTCAGTGCCCGTCGTCAAGCGGATGTAATATAAGTAGTTATAACTTAATAGTTATATCTTTTAGGGATACATCTCTATACTTATTTGTCAGTGCACTTATTCAACATAGGAGTATATTTTTTAACTAATATAATCTTTGTTCTAGATGATGTTAAACGTCAATGTTAGTTAATACATCTTAAACAACGAGATAGTAGGTATTTGTTCACAAACGTGATGTTAACAATATTCACCATGAAGCGATACAAAACGAATGAAACCTCGTTCTTTACTTCACATGTGAACTTCCAAGTTCGCTTCATGGCGAATATTGTTAACATCACGTTTGTGAACAAATACCTATTATCTCGTTGTTTAAGATGTATTAACTAACATTGACGTTTAACATCAGCCTGAAGAGAACCCAATTTAGGGTCGAAACGTTGCTGCACAAATAAATTAAACATCATTAATAATAGCCAGTTGGTCGTTTAAATATTTTTTCCATTAGTTTAATCTTACTGGCATTCAACTTTCTTACTTTGACTTTATATTAGTGATATTTAGACTTCGGATTATATGCAAATTGCATATTTATTACTTTTTGCACATTCTACGACAGCATTGATAATGTGAAAAAATTATAATAGTTTCAACTAATTAATGCTTATTAGTTAAAAAATTATAATTTATTCACATTATTAATGTTCTTGTAGAATATGCAAAACTAACAAATATGCAATTTGCATATAATCCGAAATCTAATGATATCCAATTTATTTTCTAAATTCACGAAGCATTTTCCTTATTACTCTCGAAAGAAAGATCGATTTGACATGATGACTGAATTCTAGAATTATACTTTCCATCTCTCTACAAGTTTCGTTAAATTAGTATCAAGCGTTTTATAAACTTTTTTCGGAATATAATTGTCTTCAGTATTAATATTATTGCTAATCGTACATAGCGATTTTGTGTTTGTATCATTTATTATTTCTATATTATTATTTAAATTTTCAATCATCTCCTTCAAAATCTTGTCAGTATTACTGTTATCGATTTCCTTTGTTGTTATATTTAACATAGATAATACATCTGTAATATTAGTAAATATTTATTTCAAATTCGGTATTATATCTTATTATAAGAAAAATATGTACATAATCTAAATTAACTGAATTTCTATATATACATAATTTTAATTTATCGAATTTCTATTTCCCTTTCTAACTGAAAAACTGTAGTCGAAACCACTCAATCACAAAATTAATAAACACTTATTTATCAGATTTTAACTATTATATACACCAAATTCTTTCATATACATTACTATCATTACACTAACCCCTCGATACATACAACTGTCAAAATATGCAATGATAGCGACTCACGAAGTAAACGCAACGATAGAACCAATCGGCATCGCGGATTAAAGGCAATAATACACTTCGAGACTTTCGAGACTTCGATAAATAAATAACATCCCTTTTTTTAGAAATGGATTAGTTTTTTTTTATTAACTTCTTCATTTTATGAATAATTTTTCATATACACAATTATTGTAACATAACTATTACAGCTATGTTATGTTACTGTAACATTTGTGTTTGCTGGGTAATATAACCTAACATTATGGATCATAGAGCGACATTAACGCAATCTAAGATTGACGGCTCGAACCATTGACGTATGAATATCTGGACGGAGCCTAAAGGCGCGGGGAGTGAACATTTTAGGGGAGGAGGGGGCCGCCATATTGTCTGGCGACATTAGTACTGCCATCTGTGAGTAGACTAAGGAAACAACTGTGTTTTCGTCTGTTTTCGTCCAGTGCTCCAGTTTCTGTGTGACGTGTGACGTGTGTTGTGTACAAAAAAGTTACCTTAAAAAATAATTTGTAAAAAATGCCGCTTTGTACTGCAATCGGTTGTTGCAATAAAAGCTACCGAAAAAGCAAAGAGCAAATTAATATTGAAAAAAATATTGCAATTACATTTCACCGGTAAGTACTGTATATTTATAACCTACAAAATAAAATTTGCTTCTATTTTATATATTTAAATAAAATAAGATTTAATGAAAATGTTTTTGCTGCTTTTGTGTCTGAGCGTCGAACATTCTCATTGATTCATATTAATAATGTAGATCCTTTGTATCCATTATACATTATCCGTCTTTCAAGTTGTTATAGGCTTATTGACGGAAGCTCCTCGCGTGAACCGCGTGAACGTTGTTTTTACGCACGGACTTCGGTGGATTGAAACGTACCTTGCATGCTACTATTTATTTTATATACAATTTAGTTGATATGTGTGTTTCATTAGATTTCCACAAGATGAATCAAAAAAATTAACTTGGGCTAAAGTTATGGGCCTTCAGATGGAATGTTTACCCAAGTCTTCACATTTATGCTCGTTGCATTTTTCGGACGACGACTTCGATCGCAGTTCCCTGACACGAATAAGATTGAGAGAAAATGCCATTCCAATTGTAAATATCGTTTTATTTGAATTATATTATTTTATTTATGTGAATATAATTCTGTTTGAAAAGTTTATTCGAGATCACATAATTGATATATTCAAATTATCAAAAAATCATTAGATTATTATTATATAGCATTTATAATATAAAATCTATGGATAAATGTATATATTAAAAGAAATTTTATATTTACAGTCAAATATTTCAAAAGTTGCGGGTGCAGAAGAAATCTCTTTGCAAAGTAATACATTGTCAGCTACATCAACAGAGTCGGTGCACGAGGATGATTCGATTGTGAGTACTTTTCTCGAGCATAAGATTCATTATATTCAACTAAGTGCAATGAATAAAATTTTAAATGTTATGTACAATTACAGTGCGAGCCGGAAATAAGCAGAATTACATTAAAAAGAAAAAGAGAAGAAGAGTCTACTTCATTTGGTGTGTATACCGAACGACTGGAGGATACACCACGGAAAAAATTATTGCGCAAAACTTTAATGCACCAAAAGAAATATTATGAAAGGCAAGTGCAAACATTAAAACAAAAAAATAAGCGGTATGAGAAACGGATCGCGCAATTGAATACAGTTCTAAAAGAACTCAAACAAAAAAGTTTATTGGCAGACGAACATGCCGATATATTAAAAACAATAGGTAAGAGTAATATACCCAAGTCTTCACATTTATGCTCGTTGCATTTTTTAGACGACGACTTCGATCGCAGTTCCCTGACACGAATAAGACTTGTTGAAGCGTTTAACAGCAAAGAGTAAAATATCAAGTAGCAAAAAAAATCTCTTTCTAAAGAATATTCTCCTGAGCTTAGAAAATTTGCTTTAAGCTTGCATTATTACTCACCTAAAGCATACAACTATGTACGCAAACATTTCAATTCATGTCTTCCACACCCAAAATCAATAAGTAAATAGTACAAATCGATTAATGGAAATCCCGGTTTTATGCAAGAAGCATTAAATAGTATTTCTGAACGGGTAAAAGCTACAGATTATCCACTCTTAGGCACCTTAATTTTTGATGAAATGTCGATTAGACAACATATTGAATACGATGGTAAAAATTATAGTGGTTACGTTGATTTTGGGGATGGAATTATAAACGACAATACTAGCATTGCCAAAGATGTCTTGGTTTTTCTTTTTGTGTGTATGAATGCTGCATGGAAAGTACCTGTGGGCTATTTTTTTATTAATGGAATTACGGCTGATCAAAAAAGTGGTTTGATTAATCAATGCATTTGCTTACTGCATGATACTGGTGTGAAAGTGGTTGGATTAACTTTTGATGGTGCTACCATAACTTTATCCACGGCAAAAAAATTAAAATGTAATTTAATGCCAACTGCTTTACAGACTTGGTTTCCCCATCCAATTACAAATGACAAAATATTTATTTTTCCTGATCCATGTCATATGATAAAGCTTATTCGCAACTTGTTGGGAGATATGAAAGTAATTATTGATGGATTAAACCAACTTATCCAATGGCAGTACATTTTAGATTTACATAATCTACAAAAACAAGAAAGCTTACATTTAGGAAATAAGTTACGGTCAGCACATATTCAATATAAAAAACAGAAAATGAAAGTTCGTTTCGCTACTCAGTTATTTAGTAAATCTGTTGCTCAAGCACTTCAACTTTGTAAAGAAAACTTATGTCTTCCACAGTTTCAAGATTGTTCAGCAACAATAGAATTTTTATCCAAATTTAATGATTTATTTGACATTTTTAATTCCAAAAACATGAATCAGTTTAATTATAAACAACCTATTAACTCTTGGAATTATACAAAAATAATGGACAAATTAGACGAATGTAAAACTTATATTTTGAATTTAAAATTGCAAAATGGGACTCCAATTGTTGATTCTGTAAGAAAAATGGGGCTTGTTGGATTTTTGATATGTATCGAAAGTTTAAAAGGCTTATATAATGAAGTTTGTGAGAAGCAGGAGCTTTTAAAATATATTCCAACATACAAAATAAGTCAAGATCATATTGAATTATTTTTTGGTTGCATTAGATCCAAAGGAGGCTATAATAATAATCCAACAAGTCGCCAGTTTAAGGCAGCTATTAAAAAATTGCTAATTCATTCCGAAATTCGAGATTCGGGCTCTGGTAATTGTATACCTCTTGAAAACATAGCAATTTTACACGTAACTTCTTCACAAAATAGTGAACAAATAATCAATGTTTCTACTCCGTTCAATTCATTAAATGATGATCTGCAATTAAACTGTAATGTGACTGCAGACATTATAGAAGATCACGGGTACTTTCCAGACATTCGTAGAATCACCGAATTTTCTTCAAGAATTATTGTATATATTGCTGGATTTGTCGTAAGATATCTTAAAAAGTCATTGTATTGCGAAGACTGTGTTCATGCGTTAACTTCAGATGATAAAAATGATGAAAACTCTATTTTGATACAAATCAAAAGCCGCGGACGTTTACAATACCCATCGTCTAGTGTGACGAAAATTTGTCACGAAGCAGAAAGAGTTATCCGCTTTGCTTTAGCAGAAAGTGGAGGAAAATTTATGAAAAAAAAATTTACAGATACTTATCTTGTAAATTCGGTACTTCGAAAATTTACTGACTCCAATAATTTATTTATTAATTTAAAAAAACATTCACATGATCAAACTGCTTTGGAAAACCATATAATACATTTAACAAAAGCAATTGCTGGCAAATATATTAAAGTTAGATTATATCATATTTGTAAAGAAGCTATGGAAGATAATAAACAAAGTGAAAGACACTTTCGCAATAAATTAACATTGTTCCAAGGACAATAGTATTTCAAATTACATTATCTTGTGTTTTAATGATATTGTATCAATGTTATTCTCGAATGATTGTATCAATTTAAATAAATATTGTATCAATTTTTTCTGTAATTATTGTATCAATTTCAATAAATATTGTAATAAAAATTATTTTATTTTACAAAAACATATTATTTTGAACGATTAAAACTAGTCTCACTTTCTTTTCTTTAATTCAATAATACAATTCTTTCAATCAATTCATGTTGAATTTCAAACAGAGCGCCAAAATGTCGCCAGACAATATGGCCGATCCCCCGTCCCGCTAATGTCGATCCCCTCGCCTGAAATCCGACCTTACGCTCCGTCCAGATATTCATACGTCAATGGCTCGAACAGTACATTTTCGCGCACATGCGCATTGAGAAGATCGACGACGATGATTAAATGATCAATTTTATTGTAAAATCAAACTTTACATCATAATATCTCCGTTTATATAACACGTAGAGCAAAAATAAAGACATTCTCTATATATAATTGAAACCCAAGTTATCGATTAAGCCTATCGAGAATACAATCAGAACTTTTGACAGCATCTCATATTATGAATCGCCTCTCGCGATGAGATTCGAGATGCCCTGGTGTCTCTGGGGGATGCTCGGTCGGGGATGTTCAGATTGGAGAGGTTCGGACTCCTCGGAGCTCTCCCTGGAGCACAGTGTGGGTGCGTTGCCCGGTGGCAACGGCGCGCAGGGCTGTCTCCGCGGGGAGGCTCAAGGTGGGATGGGTTGTGTTGGGGGTGGAGCTGCTTAGCGCCCGCCCCCTTCGGTGCTATCGCTGCCTCGAGGTGGGGCATACGCGTCATCGCTGTTCGAGGGGTGTTGACCGTTCTGACCGCTGTTATAGGTGCGGCGTGTCGGGGCATCGTGCGGCGTTTTGTGACGCCACACCTCGCTGTCCGATCTGTTCGGACGGAGAGGTGTCGACGGCGCATTCTTTGGGGGCTCGGGGGTGTCGTCACTCAGGGCTCCCAACTTCTGAGGCGGATGGTAGGCGCCAGGCTCCGGCCGTCCCGATGGGGGACGGTCTATGGAGATTGAGGCTGCCTCAGTGGGCGTTCCTGCTGCCGAGCGTGCGCGGGCTCCTGAGAGTCCTGAGTGGATAGGGGTGGACTGTAGTCTGGGGCGGGGGAGATCATCGAGAGGTGGGTCCCCCGTGTCGGGCTGCAGCTCTGTCCCTAATGTCTAGTGTTGTTGTGTCTCTTGTCGTAGTGAGTAGCAGTGGGTGCGGGGGGGTTCCGGGGAGGATGCCGAGAGGTGACTCCGCGGTCCCCCCTATCCCGCCAGGTCTGTGTAGTAGGTAGCGGTGTTGGGTGTTGAGTGCTGGGGAGGTTGCCGTGAGGTGACTCCGCGGCCTCTTCACCTACGCCAAGTTATGTGGTCTTAGTTCTTTGTCTTGCGTCTATAGGTGGTGAGAACATCCCTCACCACCTCTTATTTGTGGTCGGCCATAGTGCCTCGCTGTTGGCCCCTAGAGGGCTGGGCCTGTGGCCCTTGCTTGGTCTCTGTCGTGGATTGTGTATATGTCTGTCCACGTAGTTGGTGACGTCCAGTGACGTTTTTTTCATGTGGGAGTGGGCGGCTGCGGCCGTCTCACTTACCGGGTTCGCCAGGGAGAGGGTGAGGGCCCCGATCTCATTGCACGTCGACCCTGGGAAGTCCGGGGGGAGCTAGTAGCCCGGCTCCCCTCGATGCCCTTTCGGGGCAAGGGATGTCCTCTCCGGGGGGATACCTGTAGTATCCTCCCGGGGGATGTGTCCTACCTTCAGGACACCGGTCGGGTGTCCACCGTGAAGTAATGCTTACGCGGTTCCGCGGTGGACAATACCCATACGACCAGGGGCTTCAGTCAGGTTTTAGGTCGGTCCCCCGTCCGATAGTCCCTCGGGATACTACGGGCGGGAATCCATCACAAAGCCTCCTGACCCTCCCTTAGGGGTCAGGACGGCGAAGTTTGGTTTAGGCAAATTTCCTGACTATAAAAAAAAAAAAAAAAAAGTATATAATTGTAGATAGCGATAGGAGCGCTCTCCTCTATGAGAGCATTGCATTATGGATACATACATATATATACACACGCGCGATACATTTATTATGTACTGTTAGAGGTTATAATAAACAGTATACAAACATTAACACACACAGCGATGTAAAAATGTCAGAATACTCACCATATCTTATTATCACTATACCGCCTGCTTTCTGAATCTGTTAGACGAAAATCTGTATCCTTTTCGTAGCGTTTGATGTTTAGTGCCGTAGAGATGAATAAGCAAACGCTACTAATGGTACAGGTAGTTTTAATCCAGTAAAAATACAACACATACGCTTCTTTATCTGTAAGTATATGTCATAAAATTTTATATTGTTCACACACTTTAAAAATAGCATTAATAAAATTATGTGAAACATACTTTCACCATAGTACCAGCAATTTCCCCTTTTGAATTCTGGTTTCAAATTTGTTGGTATATAATCGGAGACAAAGTCCACGATAATGACACAAACAATAGCAAGTATAAATGGACAACCGTACGCAAAAATCACATAATACACCAATTTTTTTTTCCGGATTGTACGACATTTCTTTGTAACGAAGAGATTTCTCTGCAATTTACATGTCATATTTAACTAAATAAGTATAGATAAAGATAAAAGAAATTTCAATGCAAAATTAATGTTTGCCTTTGATCGAAGCTTTCTCGAAAACCTATTCTACGCAACTATAAAAGTATATTTACATAATACGATACACGACACATGCAACTCAATTACGATGAGAAATATAATATACATTGTATGATATTTAGGAACTATTTTCAAATTACATAAATATTCTACAGACCAAGGTTATCTAAATTTTTATTTAGTTTTTAGAGGCAAAAAATATATGCATGTCAAAAATTATCGTGTATTGCCTTATTTTATACATAAAAAAAGAATAACGTGGTATAAATATCAAGCTTGTATAATGTAAAAGAAACATTTGTAAGAAAAGTTGGTTTCATTATTGTGAATTAGACTACGTTGTAATGTTTTACAAATATGTTAATAAAATAAAAATTTTTAATGTTCATAATCTAATATACCATTTATACTTTCAAAAAATTTATAGTTGTTCTGACAAAATTTTTAATTTGTTTAATACTATAAAACAATCTTGTAATAATTAATTAAAATAAGAGGTAATTAAGTCAAATACGAGTATGAAATACAATATAAAATCTTTTGCAATTTACCTGAATGTCCGCCACATATTAAAACTCATGGTAATTAGCCAGAAGTACATTGACGCATGAAAAAAATATTGCAAAAAGGCTGAAAAATGAATATATACATAAAGGCTATAATACTAAATATTTTCATCACAAAGCACGCATAAAATAGAGAAACTCAAAATTTTCACGTTTTTAATTCTTTTTTACTTAAAAACAGATTTACTACTTTCTGCACTGAAAATTTATAATAATATTTATTTATTAATGTAAATATTAATACTCTTCCAATGATAAATTAAATAATATTTCACAACCTAACCT